ACTTCAAGTAGTTAAAAAATGAATCATTTTTTAGAAAAAAGACAAAAGGTGATCCAACTTAAAAATATTGCATTCATTTCTCACAAGTAATCAAATTAGAGTTAATTTATTAAGTTGCCAGGTTAATAACTGAATTACTTTAATTAAATCAAGTTTTTAAAGTTTAAGCTGCACTCTTTTTTCAGTGTTGGTGAAAATACCTGCAAATGCTTGCAAAATATTTTAAATATGCGGAAAAACACAGTTTTGCAACTAAAATCAGTTGTGAATAAATTTGTTCATGTAATAAGTCATTTTAAAAAATAACTACTTCCTGTTTTCTACTCATTTTTTCCACCAATAGTTACATCCGGTTGTTGATCACATGACTCTTCATGTGAAAAAGTGTCTGTGCTGCAGTTTTGAGAAATACAATAATTTTGATACGTCTAAAAACTTATTAATAGAAAAATGTGAGTTTACAAAATTGTCATTTTTCAATTAAGCAAATTTATTTTGGAATTCCAATTTGTGCAATTTTATGGTCAATGGAAATGCAGATACTTTAGTCTAGAATAAAAAAAAATCTTAATATTTGAACCCAAATATTTTCATTACACAATTTAATGAAAGTGAAAAATGTTTCATGATCTAAGCATACAGATGAAACCAGATGTTTACATGCAGTTAATTCAGACCAAACGTCTCAGAACGACCAAAAGTACTTCTATTTGCTAAAAGTCTCAACAACGATAGAAAGATCATACAAAAGATTCATTTAACATCTTCAAGATCAGAAGTTTACATACATTTCCTCAGTATTTGGCAGCGTTGCCTTTAAACCTCCGACAGTTTGCTGAGTTCTGGTCCATTCCTCCAGACAAAGCCAGCAGAACCGGGTCAGGTTTGTCAGCTTCGCCTCAGACCAACATTAAAAAGTCTAACTTTTCAAACAGCTGTAAAATTATTGTAAAAGTTGTTTATTTTGGTTGAATTTGCTTCCCAGCCCCAGCAGCCAGCTGACAGAACCACGTCACACAGGAAGTAATCGGGATTATAAAAGACGCCATAAATGATCTCAGCTCCACAGAAACACAGCTGACCTGAAACGCACCGCTGCAGGCCACATGCAGAGCAAAGCAGGGCTGCAACTCTAACGAAGAAAACTCTCAATCTGCAGAAGGTCAGAGGTGAAACACCAGAATCAACAACAAACCGCTCCTAAATGCCCAGTTATAAAATACACACACTTTACTGATTAAATATTAGATATATCTTCTTATTGTTCTGTCTGGTCTGAGTTTCCCTGGAGAGCTGCAGGTATTTATGGGACAAATAAGAAAAAACCTTCCAGAAGGTCTATGAGCTTCATCACATAAAAACTGGAACGGATACTTCAAGGTGTGTAGGACATGTCAGAGAGCACACAGTTTGGTCTGATGAGTAGCGAGCGCAGCAGCAGCGAGACGCTCTGAGACACTGAAGAAGAGCTGGCTGGAGGTTACAGAAAGGCGCTGGAGGAGATGGGATTCAGCGGCAGAGAGTCAGCTAATTGCTCAGTTTATCTAATAAACAGGTGGAGTGCCGATTATCTGCCAGGCTGGAGTCAAACCCTGCAGCTCAACCCATCAAATCTGACAGACAGCCGCACCAATCTGCAGCTCTCATCTCCTGCAGGCTGGATGTTAGTAGATAAAACACTAAAACTGATCAAAAACCTGCATCCAGGCAGCTAATCTGGAGGTTTCCTGTTTGAAACACAGTAAAGCTGCGTTCAGGTTGCCGTGTCGACTCAGATTAAAGTTATGTTGTGATTTTTGAGTTAATCCGAATGTGTAATGGCAGTTTTCAGATTCCCTTTCAGTCTTTTTACTTCGGTCGTATCAGGCTGTTATTGTGACAAAATGTTAAATATTTTCCATGACTTACAGATGAGACAAGGTGATTCTGCTCTGTGTTACGAAACAAACTAATCAGTTTCATTTGCCTCCTTTTACTTTAGCTGCATAAGCAGAGACAAACTTTAGCTCTATGGACATTTAACAAATAAATCTGCCGTTCTATTTTCTCGTTTTGTTCCTTGAAAAAATTCAAATGAGAGAAAAGATCTTTAAAAAATGGCTTTTGCTTCAACCATTCCTTCAGGGAGTTGACAAGCTGTAAAAATGCTTTTGAAACAAGATGGCCACCGCGGTGCGTTTACGTCACCCTGAACTACAAAAACTCCAGGATGAAATGTCCAGATTTTAAAAAATTTAATCTTCAAAAACTGGAAATTTCATTCATAATAAATTTTATTTACCTATCAATTTTATTATTAAAAACCATAAAAATATTATTTAATTAATGAATAATAAAATAATATATTTTTCTATTTTATAATATTTTTCTATTTTATTTTCATTTTTATGTTTTTATTTTTTTTTAGGAAAAAACAGCTGTTCTCCAGTAGCAGTCAGTCTTGCAACAAATCTCAGGAGGCCTCTGACTGAAGACTGTACGACTGTCTTGACATGCTAGCAGCTTAACATGTGGCAGCAAGCGCTGCTAATCCTCCTCCTTTGCTTTTTAATTCTCTATCTGGTCGTCTGGTCAGAGTGATGCTGGAGTCGGGAAGAGACGGTTTGCACTTCCTCCTTCCCTCTGCTCCTTTTCAACGTCTCTGGGATTTTAAGTTGTACTTCAAGTATGAGTTGAAGTTTTGAGATACTAATCAGCTCCTTCCAGTTGTAAAAAAGTAAAAGCTAAATTTCTTCCGGCTGCACAGCGTCTGAAACCAGAGGGAATATTTATCTAAACATCCAAAGATTCAACAAAACTCTTCAAACACAACAAATGATTGGAGTATTTTCTGTAGCAGCTGAGCTGCTGCTGTCTAACAAACTGGGCCAACTGGGCCGCAGGAATCCGTTGAACTGGTGGAGCCTGTAAAAGCTGCGCAGGGTGCAGATCAACGGCATCTGAAGTATTACAATCCACACATTCCTGTGTGGTTCTAATATTATCCACCCTGAACCAAAGACAAATACAGATCGCTGCTTTTCAGAGTCAGTCTGATGGCTTTAATCATTCAAAATGATTAACGATCAGATCGCTGCTCTGGATTTCTGTTAGGAATCAAAACTGATAACTCAGAACGTAAAACATGAGTGCTGGTTCCTGCAGACCAACACTCAGATCTGCTCAGCTCAGTCTGACTAAAGTTCCCACGTTTTCACAGAAACCTGCAGGGAAACTCACTGAACGTCTTCCTGACTGCAGGAAAACAGAGGAATTCTGGGAGTTTTCATACAGGTGAGTCAACCAAGTCGAGAATCCGAGCTTTATGTGATCAGAGGCAGTTTAAGAAGTGAAAGGTTTTGCATCACCTCTGCTCCTGATTTAAATGATGTTTGGGAATAATTGGTTTGTAACTGTTGGCCTTTTAGAAACCAAAAACTATTATTGGTTAATAACAACCAATAATAATAACGTGATAAGGACTTTATCACAATATTTTGTATTAGTATTCTGATAGCAAAAGTGAAGCGGAGACTAATTTACTAACTTTTTTAGCTCGTGTATCGTTGTGACTGTGTGTCAGTAATTATAGTACCACTAACAAACACTGCTGTTGAAACATTCCTATTTGTAACACTTCTTTAGCTAATGGACAATCCTGAAATCATTTTTGGTGCATTGCTACTTCTTTTCTTGGTTTTGTTAAACTATAAAAGCTTTAAAATAGCTCTAGTTAGCTTTTTTATTTAGTAGTAATTATAGTGCCAAGCACTGATCTTTGTTTTTCTTGATATTTAGTCATAAAAATATAAAATATGCCATTTAACTGAGCTTAAAATCACAATATCTGCTTGTTGAACTCAAATATATTTTTTCCAGTTAATTTTATGAAGAAACATAAACAGCAACCCTGTTTACATCAGGAGCAACCGGCAGGCCGCCCAGACAGTTTTCAAATAAAACCATTTATTATTTATTTAAAAAGTCACGGCCTTCTGGTTAATCCTCTGAAACGCTGCCCTGTATTAAAACAGCTTGATCCCATTTGGTGACCCATTGCTCAGTCTCCTCAGCGCTCAGCAGCAGAAAAACACCTGAGCGTCTGGACCGAGCTGGTTCTGGACGTCCACTCCCAAAATCAAAGAGTCCTGATTGTGTGTCAAACTTACATGATAAATAATTCAGCATTCATCCCAGAGTTTCCAACAAACATATTGGAAAGATTGTTTTAGCTGCAGATTTAGCTGCAGTTTGCTGTCAGGAATGTTTCTCCAAAATAAAAGACTTTCAGATTTCATGTGAATCAAAATATGATTCTCATTATATAAGCCGGTCAGGAACACTGAGCTCAGATGTGGGTTAAACTCCCAATCAGGGAGCAGGCTGCTCCTCACCCTGCTCCTCATCCTGCTCCTCATCCTGCTCCTCATCCTGCTCCTCATCCTGCTCCTCACCCTGCGCTTCGCAGGCCCAGAAAAACACGCAGAAAGAGGAAGGGGCGCCGGAGCCGCGGAGCCTCCGTGCGCTGCCGTGTCACGCAGCACAAAGCTATTATTACACACGCACACACACACACACGCAAGCACGCACACACACACACACACACACACGCACGCACGCGCACACACACACACACACACACACACAGTCAGGTAGGCCAGGCTGCTTGTGTTAACATCTCAAGGTCACAGCACGGCTCTGTTTCTGGATCGGAACCGGCAGAACAACGCGGTGTTCCGCGGCCGAGACAAAGAGCCAGGGCCGAACCCGCAGCCGGACCTCGCAGCCCGCTCTGCCCTCACGGGGCTGCCCAGGCCGGTTCCTCCGGCTGACAAACATCTGGATGGGAGGAGGAAGAGGAAGAGGAGGAGGAGGAGGAGGAGGCCGCAGGAATGAACGCGGATTCCGTTAGTAGCGAACAACCGGTGAGGATGGAGATGAGATAAGGTGATGAGGAGGAGAGGAGGAAGGAGGGGGAGGCTTGCGCTCGTTCCTCCCCCATTTTCTAATTAATTCCTTACCCTCTGACAGCTCCAGCTCCAGCTCCGCCAGCCGGGCTCGGATCTCCAACGGTATCGGCGACGCCTCGCGGTCCGCCATTCGGCTGGTACCGAAGCAAGCAGCTCTCCGGCGGGAACAGCTCCCTGCTCAGCCGCTCCTCCTGGCTCGCTGGGAGGCGGTGGGGGGAGCGCTTCTCCTTCTCCTCGGCGGCCCCTCCTCAGCGGAGGCGCGTAGAGACAGCGAGGCGTCGGGGTGGAACAAAGAGGATAAATCTGGGTCCGGTTTTAACGGGGGCCCGCCATGTTGGCCGCTTCCTTGGCTCGGTGAAGACCCCCGGTGGTTCGCTCGGTTCTCCTCTCTGCCGCTGCAGAGGTTCTGTTGGCGGGTGTGATGAGGATGATGAGGCTCGCGCAGCACCGCACTCACAGCCGTTTGAAGCTTGCTGCTGTCACGTGACTGTACGGAGTAAAAAAGAGAGAGAGGTGGTAACACTCATCACCTGTAGGGGGCGCAGCGAGCACCAGAGAGCTTCAGCTGACTGAACTATTTTTCATCCAATAAATGGAATTAAATTAAGTTGTAATTAACTAAAAACTGTTTTCATGAATAAACTGTTAAATTATCTTGTTTTACAAAAATAAAATATATCTAAAATATATCACTGTAACAATAGTGTCATTTTTATGTTTAACAAAATGTTTAATTTTAAATTAAACCAACTGTTTTTAATAAATTAAATAGTTACTGTCTTGCTTGTTTAATGACTTAAAAAAACATAATAAACATGTTTATTATGTTTGTGGAAAATAAATTATTGATACAATAAAATAAGCAGTTTAAATATTTTATTAGTTATTAATTTGATCTTATCCTTGCATTAAAATGTATTTTAAACATAAAACAAAACAAGATATATTTAAAAACAAAATGCTCCACTGTGTAATAAAGTTTGTATCAGGTTTAGACTCTTGAAATTCAACTGTTAATATTCTTACTTGAAAATAATTTCAGTATTGATTTATTTCATTTAAAAATAATTGTGTTGGACTGACTTGAGGAATTTTGTTTCTTCCTCATGTCTCCTTCCAAAAATTTTATTTCATGTCAATATTGCATTAAAACTATATAAATAGAGCCCTTTCAAATGAAATTAAAAGAGAGCATGCATGATTGGATGCACTTTATTTCACTTTCATATCTTTATGATTTTGCCCTGCTATGTCTTCATTGTGCATCTAAGACCTTTTGTAATATTCCTATTTGCAGGTGACCCTTTCTGCAGCACAGTCTCAGTAAAAATACCAGCACATGTGAGTCATCAGCCAAACTCAAACCTGTTTAACAATTCATTTCCTTGAATTTATTTGATCATTTGAACCACATTTGTCAGGTGAGAAGTTTATTACAGATCCCATGAAGAAAAAAAGCAAAGTTTCTATTTCTGTCCCCTTTATGTCAGTTTCTGCCCTGTGATGACCTGCAGCTGAAGGGGGAAATGAATTAAAACGTGTTGGGTCTGAGTGCAGCCTGTGACCCGTTTTCATTCCAGGAGAGCAATGAGTCCTGCCAGGAAAAACAGCAGCTTCCTGCATTTTAAAACTTTTACTGCTTTGCTGTGAAGCAGGAGAAATGTGGGAGCCTGGCTTTGACACCTGCGACTCAGTGTGCTGGTCTCCTCTGAATGGACCTCAGGCCTGAAGGATCAATGACAGGATTTATTACTAAACCAGAACCTGTTCAGACCAAATTGGGTACTTCTGGTGTGGTTCTGGTGAAACTGATGATTTCTGGCAGATCCAGAAATGATCAGTTTAATCTGAGTAAAGTGTGATGAATTGGGCCCAGGACGGATCATTTCATTAGTATGCTGCATGCTATTCATTAGGCCGCTGATGAAACAAATGCTGAGCCAAACAAAGTAATTAGAGTTGTGATGTGGCTCTACTGCCATCTGCTGGTTAGGAGAAGGAAATACATCTGCAAGAGGCTGAACGACTCAGAGCTTCATACAAATAAAAATCTAAACATGTTCCTTGTAAAGGCACTTCTTTAATATATTTCTGTTCAGCATTCTGTACATTTGTACACAGCAACATATGTCACAGTGGTGCCAGCTTTACATTCAAACTTCACATCAGAAAACAACATTTGTCTCTTTACAATCAAAAGAAAAAACATTTCTTCAAGTTGAATCAGTTTGTTCTTGGACGCTCAGCGGTCAAAACTCAGCAAGTTAAATAAAGTCAACAACTAAAACAGGCCAGTTTAACACAAATAAAACTGAATCCATGTTTAAAATTAAATAAAACAGTCAGAGCAACAATAAAGAGTTGGTATTCAGTACTTTCAAACATACAGGAAGGCTTTACAGATCTGGTTATTAATTGTTGGGCTTGTAAACACAGGAAGGATCCACTTCAGACTTAAAAATTCAGAATAAAAAACAGAATCCTGACAGAACTTCCTGTCCAGAGCCGACGGCCAAATACAATAAACCTGAAAATAACGCCTGGCTCTCATTCCTCTGAGCCCAACAAGACAAGAAACAAAACTAAAGAATTACAAAAACATTTACAGATTATTAACAGTTCCCTGCCAAAAAATGAAAGTGTTAAAAATTTCTCTTCAGCATCAGCAGTTTTTATAGTTCTAAGATTAAAAATCCTGAGCTTGTAAAGGCTGGTACTTTACTTACTGATCAATCTTTATAATAAATATACAGCCAGCTATACAACTACACATTCCCATCGGACCGGTTTTGTCTCACAGCGGCAGCAGAGGCTGTTGGGATGCCTGGTACTCCACGGAGGGGGCGGGGTCAGCCAGCGGCGCCGACGCCTCGTTGGACGAAGCCTTCTGGCAGATCTCAGCGTAGCTCAGCTTCTTCAGCTCCTGAAGGACGTAAAGAACAGAACCGGGCGTCAGGAGGCGGAAACACCGACATGCTTCAATTATTCATCTTTACAAACACCAAACACTGTTTGTTTTTAAACCAACAAATGAATTCACTTCGAATACAGCTGGGTTTTCCCACAACGTTTTCATAAAGCGGACTGTGATGCGATTAATGACATCACACAATGGACCCGATAAGCTGCATTAAAACCCGCACAAAAGAAAACGGATAGAACTATTTTAGTAACTGATTATTTTAACAAAAGAAATTGGCATATTCTGATAATTTTTCACATGTCTTTTATGCAATATTAGAAATACATTAAAAAGTGAAAATCAACAGTGTTCAATTACTTTTAAAGAAAGAAGTTTATTGCCTAAAATGCAGTGTCATCGTTCCTTCAGTGAACGCTTGTAGAAAACGATAAATCTGCAGATAAAATCCTCCCAACATCAACAACAAATTTACAGAAAAAGGTTTTCATCTTGAATCCCTGATTAGTTTAATCTCTTTAAAAGAGATTCAGTGTATATTGGTGAACAAAGCAACTATTTGAGATGGTTTGTCCCGGGACAGTTTTAAATAAAAGGTTGAAATGTTTCATGTTGAAGAGACTAATCAGGGAGCAACAGCCTGCTGTTGCCAGGCTCTGTGTTGTTAAAATTGGAAACATTTTGTTCTTTTCTCCCGTTGAACTGAACCCAGACCAGCACCATGTAATGACCCACATTTCCCCTCTGGCTGATCCGGGTGATAAACCGAGTCCTGAATGTGTCTTACTGCTGCTGGTTCCAGTGGCAGCTGGACTGGTTTGTCCTCCACCGTCGTCTCTCCGCTGTCCCCGTCTTTCCTGTGCACAACACAGCTGCATGTGAAGCCTCCGCTCTGGTCGCAGAGCCGCAGCAGCTGGATACTCACAGCAGAGACGCCGGCTGAGGCTCCACTGGAGGAAGTGATGATGAGGAGGATGAGGACGAGGAGTTTGAGCTGCTGCTTTTTGTGGGACTCTGAGGATTCAGACACACAGGTCAGACTGGAACTGATTCAGGTGTGGGTGTGTGTGAGAGTGTACCTTGACGCTGTCGTTAGCTGCAGGTGTCGTCGCCGTGGCAACATTTGCAGTAGACAGGGGGGGAAGCTGGACAGGCTGAGCTCCAGAGGAGGAGGAGGAGGCTGATGAAGAGGAGACAGAATGGGAGTGGTTCACTTTCCACAGTCTGACCTCTGCTGTGTTTTCTTACCTCAGCGTTCAGTTTGGGTCTCTCCAAGGATTTCTCGGTCTCTCTCCTCTTCTGGCTGAAGGTTCCCCTCCTGCTGTAACTGAGACAGGAAAACAAAAACCTGTTTTATGCTCATGTTGCAGAGCGTAAACCTAAACTCAACTTTTCCATGTTTTATTGCTTACTAACGTCAAACTTCAGTGTTTTGGGGGGTTTTATGAAAGACAAAGAAAAAGTATGGATTAACTGTGAAGTGGAAGAAAATATTTTGCATAGGTCTTCCAACAAAAACAACAAAAAAGAAAATCTGAAAAATGCAGAGTGCATTTGTATTCAGCCGATCTGAGTCAAAACTTTGTCTACTAAGGTTTGGTTAGTATTTACCAAAGCGAACAGGAAGGCCTGCTGAGCATGAATACAGCAGCTGTGCTTCTGCAACAGGAACAGATACATTACCTTCCCCGGTCAGAGGGGGGCACCAGAACCTGTTTGTTGGATTCTGTTCTTCCGCCCCGGCTCTGCCGGCGCAGGCCGCCCCTCAGCCGGCCCCGCCGGGCCCTCAGGGAGGGAGAGGAGTATTGGTCTGCAGACGGCTGCTCCGACGGCTGGTAGAGGTCCGAGTGGTGGGTCTGCCAGCGGTCGCCACAGCTCAGCATCCTGGAGCCCCTCCTGCAGGTACAGACCATAATCAGCCCCAACCCGGTCCAAACAGGTCGGGACCGACTCAGACCCGGTCCAAAAAGGTCGGGACCGGCTCAGACCCGGTCCAACAGGTCGGGACTGGCTCAGACCCGGTCCAAACAGGACGAGACCGGCTCAGACCCGGTCCAAACAGGACGGGACCGGCTCAGACCCGGTCCAACAGGTCGGGACCGGCTCAGACCCGGTCCAAACAGGACGAGACCGGCTCAGACCCGGTCCAAACAGGACGGGACCGGCTCAGACCCGGTCCAACAGGTCGGGACCGGCTCAGACCCGGTCCAAACAGGACGAGACCGGCTCAGACCCGGTCCAAACAGGACGAGACCGGCTCAGACCCGGTCCAAACAGGTCGGGACCGGCTCAGACCCGGTCCAAACAGGTCGGGACCGGCTCAGACCCGGTCCAAACAGGACGAGACCGGCTCAGACCCGGTCCAACAGGTCGGGACCGGCTCAGACCCGGTCCAAACAGGTCGGGACCGGCTCAGACCCGGTCCAAACAGGACGAGACCGGCTCAGACCCGGTCCAACAGGTCGGGACCGGCTCAGACCCGGTCCAACAGGTCGGGACCGGCTCAGACCCGGTCCAAACAGGTCGGGACCGGCTCAGACCCGGTCCAAACAGGACGAGACCGGCTCAGACCCGGTCCAACAGGTCGGGACCGGCTCAGACCCGGTCCAACAGGTCGGGACCGGCTCAGACCCGGTCCAAACAGGGAGACCGGCTCAGACCCGGTCCAACAGGTCGGGACTGGCTCAGACCCGGTCCAACAGGTCGGGACCAGCTCAGACCCGGTCCAAACACGACGGGACCGGGTTTGGACTGGCTCAGACACGGTCCAAACAGGACGGGGCCGGCTCAGACCCGGTCCAAACAGGTCGGGACCGGCAGACCCGGTCCAAACAGGTCGGGACCGGCTCAGACCCGGTCCAAACAGGTCGGGACCGGCTCAGACCCGGTCCGAACAGGACGGACCGGGTTTGGACCGGCTCAGACACGGTCCAAACAGGTCGGACCGGCTCAGACCCGGTCCAAACAGGACGGACCGGGTTTGGACCGGCTCAGACACGGTCCAAACAGGACGGGGCCGGCTCAGACCCGGTCCAAACAGGTCGGGACCGGCTCAGACACGGTCCAAACAGGACGAGACTGGCTCAGACCCGGTCCAAACAGGTCGGGACCGGCTCAGACCCGGTCCAAAGGTCGGGACCGGCTCAGACCCGGTCCAAACAGGACGACCGGGTTTGGACCGGCTCAGACACGGTCCAAACAGGTCGGGACCGGCTCAGACCCGGTCCAAACAGGACGGACCGGGTTTGGACCGGCTCAGACACGGTCCAAACAGGTCGGGACCGGCTCAGACCCGGTCCAAACAGGACGGACCGGGTTTGGACCGGCTCAGACACACGGTCCAAACAGGACGGGGCCGGCTCAGACCCGGTCCAAACAGGTCGGGACCGGCTCAGACACGGTCCAAACAGGATGAGACTGGCTCAGACCGGTCCAAACAGGTCGGGACCGGCTCAGACCCGGTCCAAACAGGTCGGACCGGGTTTGGACCGGCTCAGACCCGGTCCAAACAGGTCGGGACCGGCTCAGACACGGTCCAAACAGGACGGACCGGGTTTGGACCGGCTCAGACACGGTCCAAACAGGATTATGTTACCTTCAGTTGTCATAATCCTTTATATATGAAATATCACTTAAAAGAAATTTAACATTGTAATTTAAGGCCATAAAATTGGGCTTCTGTCTCTTTAAGAATCTCATATTATTTCTGAAGCTCTGCCTACAGGAAGAACATGGAACATGGCTCCTCTATTAACCCTTTAACAGCTTTTTTACCAGCATTGCTCCGAATAGCTCCTACAATGAGCTTAGCAGCTCCAACAGGTGTTTGCTAATTGCTGCAGCTAGTCTGAAGGAGCTGAGAGGGAGAGAGCTGTTCTGTGAGGTTCGCCTCGAAGGAGGAGCTAGGTCCAGCTGTAAAATGGTTGCCATGGGGAATAAAGGATTTCTCAAACATGAATGAGTGAATTGAGGCTTTTGCTCTTGAAGGAGACAGTGACATTATAAGATGATGTAGAGCTGATAAAAGTGGATTAGTTTGACACTGGCCTTTAAGACCGGCAGCAGCAGGGTGGTGGTCGTACCTCTGTCTGTGAGCTGCGTGCGGCTTGAAGGAAGAAGCTGCTGGAAACTCGTTCATCAGGTTGTTCATCAGCAGCTCAGGCTGCAGAGAGAATCAGAGTTAATGACTGAGTGGAACCACAAAAGGAACCAGGTCCGGGTCAGGAAACCCTGTTCTGCTCTCACCTCCACGTTCTCCTGGTACTGGGCCGCGGTGGCGGGCCATGCCTCGTTGTTCTGGTCAAACATCTGCTGAGGGAGGCACGACGGGTTGAACGTGGTGGGGGGGAAGTAGGAGCTGTAGCGGCTGCTGCACTGGTCCAACTGGACGGGCCTGTAGCCGTTCTTGGGGGCGAAGGAGGCGATGGCCATAGTCTTAGCTTTGATCCGGGCCATGATGGGCTTCCCCTTAAACACCCGGACCTCCTCTCTCAGGTACCTGTAGGCCTGAAGGACCGGCCATGTTACTCTGTCGCGCATCCCACTCACTGATAGGATTACGATCTGACAGAAATACAGCCAAGCTGCTGGGAGCAGACGGTCTGCTGGAGGCTGCAGAGGACCTGAGACTGGGGTCAAAGTTCACCTTCCAGCAGGGTGACCTCTGTGAAACATGCAGTATGGTTCTGGTTCTGGTGTGTTGTACGAACAGCTCTGATTATGACTAAATCACTACAGCAGAGACCTGATGATGAACACCAGATGGACGACTGGAGCGCCGATCAAAGCAGACTCATGTCAGAATGGCCCAGTCAAAGCCCAGGTTTAAATAAGAGTGATAATGTTGGATCAGTTTAACTGATTTTTAAAAGAAAAACCGAACAGAGAAGCAAACAGCAAAACCTTTGGTAATTCTTCCCGGAGTGGTTTCTGCTGTTTGCTGTAAATGTCCAGGCTGTAGCGTCAGCAGCTCAGACGTCTGAATGGATAACAACAACTTCAAGTTCATAACAGGAAGATAACTGAATGTCTTCAATATTACTTGATAGCTGGATCGGTGACCAGCTCTCCAGCAGCTTTGTGGTTTGAAACTCAAGTAAGACTTCGACAGGAGCTGTTGTACCTGCTGAGCGTCAGCCTCTGACTGAAAAGTGAGGAACCAGTTGTCGTTGTTGACGACCTCACAGCTCAGGACTTTGGGCAGGTTCTCTCCTTCGAACAGAGCCTCCACCTCCTGCGGGGAATACAGAGCGGTAAAGCCTGCAGAGAGCAGCAGGCGGATCGGTGCAGCAGCGGGACTCACCTCTGCAGGCGTGGTGTCAGGAATCTCTCGCAAGATCACAACGCAGCGGTTCTGTCTGGGGCGGACCTTCTGCCCGCAGGGGCCACCTGGACCAGAGGCATGGCTGCCGACCAGAGAGCAGGATGTTAGAGCTTATTCTGGTGATTAAAGTTTTTTAGAGTGAAATATTGATATATTAGTGGGAGCCAAAACAAGGAGCCACATTTGAGAATGTCTGAGATGAGCTCCAGGTCTGTGGTGAGGTTCTTGATGCCGTCCAGACTGGCCAGCGTGGCGATAGAGACGTACTGGTCGTTGTCCATCTGGGACTTCAGGTACAGGTCGCTGCTCAGATAATCCTGAGAGGAGAGCAGGAGAGGCTGACGGAGAGATTAGATCCAGAAAACAGCAAAACACACATTTCTCTGTGCTCAGAGACACATGGAGAGCAAACACGGTGGGTAAAGGAGCTTTCTGCTGCGCCGGCCGCTCTGGTTCCATATGTTACCTGGTCAGGCAGGACTCTAGAGCTCTGCTCAGTTCCTCTCGGATCTCATCTGGAAAACAGAACAGATGTTTTCAGTCCGACATTGTGAGAAGTGTTGCTGCTGGAGAGCGTGAATCCTCCTACCTGTAACCGGAGGATCAGAGGTCTCTCCGTTCACCGCCAGAGCTTCAGGCGTTTGAGTCAGATACTCGGCCTCCGCCAGGCCCACGTTCCCTTCAAACTCCGACACAAACCCTGATGGGATGGCAACAGGGGAAGGTTAGGTAAAGAGGACGGCGTGATGCGGTGAGGCGGCGGACCCTGGGCTCACCTTCCTGGTGGTTCAGGTTGTCGGGGAGCTGCAGCCACGGCTGCTGCAGCTGCTGGTAGTCTGGGTCGGGGATGTGGAAGCTCAGGTTGGGGTCGTTCCATACTTCAGCTTCAGGGTTGAGACACGGAGCAGCAGCAGCTTCCTGAAACAAACAACATTCAACTCAGAATGTTCAGAGTTGCTGGTGATGTGAGCAGACAGGAAACAAATCCATATCCTGATGAATGTCCTGAGTTCAGTTTACAGACTCTGGTTCAGCATATTGAGCCACTTCTCAGATTAACAACAGCTTAACTAGTTCATCAAACCCTTAACTAGTTCTCAGTTCACTCAGGTTAAAACAGAATGTTCATGTTCAGACTTCAGTAGGTAAATGAGTCAACAGGTTTATTTCTTGTTTTTTCCAGGTTGAGTGGTTGGAGCAACTTTAGTAGTCAGAACTTTGACAGCATCACAAACCAGAAACTGATAAGGATTCCCAGTTCCAGACTGGGAACCAGAGGCAGAAACCAGTGTGCTGATCAGATGGTGTTCAGCTGCTATTAACTCTCTGGTTCAATGGTTTTATCTTGTGTGATTTTAGTTATTTTATATTTTATTGTTTCTACATGATTACATAAGAAGTTTTGATCAACAGAAATTTGCTTTTAAATGTGATGGATAAATAAACCTGATTGATTGTCACATTTAAACTCTGCTATAATTTAGTTAAATTCTAATTAAAACTGAAATTTGACCAAAGAATGTTTCACTTTATAGAATGAAATAAATGGAAACCCCTAAAAAAAATAAAAAATCAGCAAAATTATGTGTGTGACACATGGAGCAGTAGAGCTGGAGCCAGACTTACAGCCTGGGAGCCAGTGGTGTGCCAGTCCCAGACGCAGGGCCCCTGGGGCGTCGCCGTGCTGTAGGGGAAGGCCCCCAGCAGGGCCATGGAGGGCTGCAGCTCTGACACCAGGGCCGGGATCTGCTCCTCTTCCTCGCCCTTCGTCCTGTCCACCTCCGACGCGCCCTGGGCCAGAGCGTCGGTGTTCTGGTCCGGGCTCAGCCGGATCCAGGGCTGTGGGTACAGGCGGCAGATGGACGCCTCGGCCAGTTCTCCCAGCAGCTCCGACACCATGTCCCTGATCCCGCCCTCCTTCTCCACCTCCTCCTCTTCCTCCTTCTCTTCCTCAGCGGCTGGGACTTCCTGGTTCAGGAAGTGAATCTCGTAGGACGGAGTGGAGGCATAGACATCGATCTGATCCGGGTCCACTGGCACCGAACCAGAACTCTCCTGGCAGCTGGCATCAGTAACCATCCAGTCTGGGGCAACGGGAAGTAAACTCTTCATCTCCTCCATGTTGTTTCTGTCTGAGGACGAGTCAGAGGTCCGATCCGGGCTGGGGGGGCGTCTCTGACCCGCTGGAGTAAACCTGTCAGACCGCGTCTCCTCGTGTGAGGAAGAGGAGGAAACAGGAGAGGAAGGTGGCGGCCCAGAGCGGCTGGGGAGATGGTGGCTTATACCTTCATGGTTCTGAGGTCCAATCCGGTTCCAACCCTCTGGTTCCTGTACACCAGAGGCAGCATCACCAGCCTCTGCAAGGCTTCTCTGAATGATGACCTCTGACCCCTGCAAAGCTTCATCACGAGCGCTGCCTTAGTGCTTCCTGTCGGCTCTTTGGGTTCCTGATGGAAGGAGTCTGACCCGGGAGCCAGCGGGGTGGCGTTCTGACCACGTCGGGTCGGGGTCGCTCTAGCATTGATGACCCTGCAGATGACCTCTGTGTGGCGCAGTCGGAGGGTCGGCCCCTCCAGCAGAGGAAGGTCATCCTCATCTTCCTCCTGGAGCAACATTCGGACCTCGATGGTCTTTGAACCCGGACGGTTCTGGACTTCCTGCTCCGCTCTGAACCCAGACCCATCCCTGGTTGCTCTGCTTCTTTCTTCCTTAAGCGGATGTTTTTTCTTCTGTGGTGGCGCCGAAGTCCTTCAGCTGATAGTTGTCCACTGTGGATGCCTGAGGGTCCTCGCCGCTCAAGGCGGCCTCACCCTTTTGATTGAACACTCCGTCCTTCTCCAGAACCGAGCCAGGATCCAGTTTGTCAGCAGATATGACTTCCAGGTCATGTGACCAGGCTATACCTGCGTGGGCATGGTCCCTGAACATGCTGGCCTCTGATTGGCTGCAGGGTGTGCCGGGCAGAGCCGTCTGGGTCCAGCTGGGCTCCAGCTCCTCGGCTCCGATGGGGCAGATGCTGTAGAAGCTGCGGTGCGTTGCTGCGGCGCTGAGCGGGAGTCCTGCTGCGACCTGGGGGCCCGATTGGGGACCCGGCTCTGGCCCTCCCTGCTCGCCGTGCTCCGGCGCCCCACTGAACCCCGCGGCCCGGTGCGTGGCGGTCTCCAGGGTCTCCGGGCCGAGCGGACTCTGGGTGGACACCTCCATGTAGGGAGGCGTCCCACGGCCGGAACTGGCCTCCCGCGTCCCAGTAGCCATTGCTCTGATATCTGTGCGTGTATTTGTGGTGATGACGGCCTCTGGGCTCTTGTGGGGCTGCTGCGGTTCTGCCTCACCGCCAGACAGAGCCACCTGGGTGCAGTCCGGGTCGGGCCGATCCTGTTCCCTGGACGGCTCCTGGTCCTCCAGGCGGGCGCTGTGGGCCACGGCCTCAGCCTGCCTCCTGACCTGCTCCGTCAGCGTGCTGAGCCCGTCCTGGAGGGGCGGCGATAACAGAACGCTCCTCTCAGTCTGCGGCTCGGGGCCGAGCTCCTTACTAAAGCAGCAGCCCATCTTCTCCGGCCTGGAGGGAGAGTAAAACACAAGTCTGCTACGGCCGCACTCACCAAGAGCCAAACAACATGAGAGTAACACAGCAGCTGCTCCTCGCCGCCGCCGGCCCGCATGCGGGAACAGGAACGCTCCCCCCTTCGGCCCCGCACCCCCGCCGGCCTTCCCAGAATAGCCGGAGTGAGGGGCTCACATGTCCCTGCCACTCAACCCAGGGAAGGTGGTCTATGTGTTTGAATTAGGGCACAGACAGAGAGGAGTCACATGATCCAACAGCCCACCAATCACTGAGCTGGGTTCTTCCAGGAAATCCCCCTCCCCCCTCCAGGTCCTTCCCTTCTCAACCTGCCATGTGTGAGGATAATCTGTCCATAGAGGATCCTTCTTTTATTTTTGATTTTACTCATTAGCTTTATTTGTTAGGGACAAACACAATAACAGACAACCTGAATGAAGCAGCAGTCCCACGCCTGAATCATGATGCTAATAGCACAAGCTAATGTGCAAAACTTCGCCCTAGATGGGTTTTTCTAGTGAAATAGCAATAATAATGTAAAATGATAAAACATGACATTAACAAAACATGCAAAACCATACACCTTAAACAAAGAAATGAAAAGCAATTGGTGTGGATAAAATGTTGTTTTTGACATAGTCAGAGTTTTGTTTTGTTTGTTTTTTGAACAAATTGAATTATGAGTCAGTCGGCTCTAGAAACATGACAGAAAGCTGCAGTGACAGCTAGATTTCCTTTAATAATCACAAGCAGAGAGTAAAAGTGCACTGGAAGGAAAACGCATCATGTGTCTGTAGCCCCCCTCTGAACACCGACAGGCCCTCTGAGGTGATTTACCTGGTAAACACAGTAATAACCAGGAACCAGCTCTCCGAGCGTCAGCTGCACCTCTAGATCAGCTGGGTAGAACGGATTCACTTCTGACGTCATGGAGGACGTCGGCTCAATGGGACGAGTGCTGCTGCTGCTGGTCGCCACGGAGACTGTTGGGGGGAGCAGAGCAGCAGTTAGCTAACTCAGCATGGATGTGAACTCAAAATGAGACGTGGGCCAACAATAAAATAGCGAAAAAAAAGAAGAAAGAAACACGAAGAATCAAGCTGCAATGGTCCAGTCAAAGTCCAGGCCTCAGCCTTGTTGAGATACCTGTGAGAACTTTTTCCAGTGTTTTCTAGACCATTGGAAAAATAAATTACACTTAAAAAAAGTGAATTTGTTACAAGTAATTCAATATGTAATGTTTATCAAGTTATCATTTTAAACAAACATAAGTAAATTGAGTTTGAAAGTTTAAATTTGATTACATGTCAGAAATTAAGGTTTTTTGAGTTTTTTTTCCAAGTTGAAGCTCCTTTCTCTTTTTTCATTGAACGCACCAAACCTGAAAACGTCCAGCTCACTATAAAACAGAAAATCTTTGGATAAAGTGAAAACTGGCAAGCAGAGATAAAGACCTGCTGGGTGATTCTCTACTCTTTGCCAGCCAATGAGAAAAGGCCCGTGCTGCAGGACTACGATCTGGACCGCATTGTGGTCCAGATCGTGGTCCAGACCCACCAGCGACAGGAATACTTTTTCATTTATTGTGATTTATTTAACCATTATTCATACAAGTTGTACGAGTGAGATAAAACTCATTGACAAGAGACCTGTTTGGAAAAAACAAAATACAAACACAGTAGCAATAGAAATCATTAAAACATCTGCATAAGAACTGACCTAAAGCCAAGATCAAGTTTCAGAAGATTTAACTTGCGCAGATGATCTGTAACGTTTTTATTTTTATTTAATCTGCAGTATCTTGCTGGCTGAGTAACATATAAACCTTAAAAATGTAACAGGAACTGTGTAAAAGCTTTTAACTGATCACAAATCTGGAGTTCAGTAACTGATTTTTAACGGCTGCGTCACTTTCCAGCCAACTTGCTGTGCCCTGCCCTTTACATACAAACATTTTAAAACATATTCCCAGTTTAAAATTCTAAGAAACAGACTAGACCCAAACATTTCCAGGTCTCTCGGTGTAAATATTCATCATTGCTGTGGTTTGATGAGCTTGGCGTCAGTTCTCCGTTTCAAACAGCCGATTTAACTCGGACAGCTCGAAGTAAACAACACAAAAACCTCACAGAAAATCACAAATCACCGCTTCCGCCTCTCTGGCTCAAACTAGCCGAGGTCGATACACCCGAGTTTGTCTGTTTGCATTGTTTTGTTTTTGTTTGTTTTTTATAAATAACCTCTTCTGTTCAATAGTCAGTCAATTATCCTCCCGCTCAACGTCTGTTAGGCTAACGGTTCCAGCTGTTGCTAACTTTTGGCGCTCAGCTCGGCAGAGAGCAGCTCGGTTCGGTTCGGCTCGTTTCCCCGGATTCAGAAACCCACCTGGATCCTCCTTCCCGCCTCCTCCGTGGGCTCGAGTCACGCCGGGTTAGAGGTTTTCTCGCACCGTGTTCGTGGCAGTGGGACTTTCTCCGCGTTAGCGTCCATGAAAGCGTCAACCGTTGACACTTTGCTGCTCATACCTAAGTTCTGTGGTTGCTATGGAAACAGTGGGAGGGACCGCCGGAAGAAATAACAACATTCGCTGATTGGATGCGCGCGCACAAAGCAAACAAATGTATTGTATTGTATTGTATTATATTATATTATTTTATATCATTTACATTATATTATATTGTATTGTATTGTATTGTATTGTATTGTATTGTATTGTATTGTATTGTATTGTATTGTATTGTATTGTATTGTATTGTATTGTATTGTATTGTATTGTATTGTATTGTATTGTATTATATTATATATTATATTATATTGTATTGTATTGTATTGTATTGTATTGTATTGTATTGTATTGTATTGTATTGTATTGTATTATATTATATTATCATACTTGATTCTAAACACAAGTAAAATTTCTAAAATGTTTATTTTTTGTTAAGAACATTATTAGGCTTGATTTTATTGTTTTTTTTCTTACCATCGATTTATGTGTAAAATAAATAATTGTAGTGAGATTGTTGTGTTACAATCTGACAAGTTGTGTTTGAGCTTCAGTTTGTTCTTAAACACATCCCAGTGATTAGTAATCAATTATCCATAACTGCTTTAAGCTCCACCCCCTTTTCCATATTCCACAGTTCTGCCACATATTGTGACAAGAATTTATAGCTAACATGTTTGAGTTTTATCGCCTCAATCAAACTGGACGGTTTACTTAGAGGAAGCCATTTTTACATAAATTCAACTTTATTTTAGCTCTTATAAACAAATATCATAACATTTTATGACAAAACACAAAAAGAAAACCATCACAGTTTAAAAAATCCAAATAAAGTAATGCTGTACTGTCAGGATGTTGAGCGTTTGGCTGACTGAACCAGTTCTGCAGATTGTGCTGTACAGGTCCGGTCAACATGGATCAGGTCAGCACGGACCCGGTCAGCACGGATCCGGTCAGCACGGATCCGGTCAGCACAGATCTGGTCAGCATGGACCCGGTCAGCACGGACCCGGTCAACCTGGATCAGGTCAACATGGATCAGGTCAGCATGGATCCGGTCAGCACGGATCCGGTCAGCATGGATCCGGTCAGCACGGATCCGGTCAGCATGGATCCGGTCAGCACGGATCCGGTCAGCATGGATCCGGTCAGCATGGATCCGGTCAGCACGGATCCGGTCAGCATGGATCCGGTCAGCACAGATCTGGTCAGCACGGACCCAGTCAGCATGGACCCGGTCAACCTGGATCAGGTCAACATGGATCAGGTCAGCATGGATCCGGTCAGCACGGATCCGGTCAGCATGGATCCGGTCAGCATGGATCCGGTCATGGACCCGGTCAGCATGGATCCGGTCAGCACGGATCCGGTCAGCATGGATCCGGTCAGCACGGATCCGGTCAGCATGGATCCGGTCAGCATGGATCCGGTCAGCATGGATCCGGTCAGCATGGATCCGGTCAGCACGGATCCGGTCAGCATGGATCCGGTCAGCACAGATCTGGTCAGCATGGACCCGGTCAGCACAGATCTGGTCAGCATGGATCCGGTCAGCATGGATCCGGTCAGCATGGATCCGGTCAGCATGGACCCGGTCAGCACGGACCCAGTCAGCATGGACCCGGTCAGCAGTACAGGCTCCAGTAGACGGTGTTGAAGAGCAGGTAGGACAGCGGGAAGGCCAGGCGTGAGTACGAGTCGATCATGTAGCTGTTGTTCACCAGCAGCTCCACGTTCTCCCGCACCGACCGCTGCCGCCGCAGACGCGTCCCCTCCGGCGGCCGCAGGTCCGAGTTCGGGCTCGGGGCCGTAAGGGGGTCGGAGGTCAGTGCCGTCGCCATCCGAGGAAAGGTGGTCAGCTCGATGTCATTGTCATGGAAACAGCCATCAAAGGCCATGGCCTGGCTGGCGTTGAAGGTGGAGGGGATCTGAAAGGGGCAAGAAATGATTTGTTTTATGAAATAAAATATCTAATTATCAAAATTTAGTCATAATTATATGATGTGTAGCTATTAGTTACTTTAATGTTTATATTCATAGTTAGGACAATAAAGAAAATCTAAAAATATAGCTCTAAAATTATGGCTATACAAAAATATATTTAAAAAATATTGAGATTCTTTTAATATATTCAAATAAATCAAGAACAAATAGCCCAGATGTGTATGTGTCACTCAAATAACATTACTATTATTATTATTACATGCTAATAACCTCCAATATATAAAGTGGAAGGAATTTATATGTGCCTTAATCCTGTTAAACTATTTTCGAATTATTTCCAACAGAATTTCAAACAATGTTAGAAATAAACATTTAATTTTTAATTCAGGCATCCACTTTGCACTAACTAAAAATATTCCACTTGCTTGAAAAAAAAACCACCTCATATTTATATCTAATTTAATATTTATTACATAGAGTATTTATTTAAGATTGTTAAATAAATAAAAGTAAATGAGTGAAGACATTAGATGTTTAGATGCTCTTGCTTTAGATGTTAATAGTTCAAAATGTGAAGGAAAACAAAAAAATCTGATATCCAGTTCTACATCAAAATTAAAATCAATTTCAAGGCTCTTGACAAAGAATTTTTTATTTTTCTAAAATTAGAAATTTCTTGTAATGTCAAAGTGTGACCACAGGGGGGAGACAAAGTAAGCCATAATTCTGTAGATGTTGTTATGGTTTTGAAACAGGGTCTCCTTCCTGACCTTCCCCCTCCTCATCTTCCTCATCTCCTCCAGGGTGGTGCAGTAGTTGACAGCAGCATATTCGATGACAGATAGGAAGACAAACAGGAAGCTGGTCCACAGGTAGATGTCCACAGCTTTCACGTACGACACCTGCACAGTGAAACACGGCTCCTTTTTAACCCCACATTTACTTCTAGTCAAACTTTTATTGCGTTATTTAGCTAATTTTTTTGAAGGTCAGATGGCATGTGTAGCAGAAGTTGCAGAGAAAAAAAAGTCAAATATAAACATCTGAAAAGCAAAACTGGACTGATTCTGACCAAAACCTTTTTAAAAAGCTACATTCAAGTTTTTAGTTGAATTATGAAAGTATAAAGTTATATGCTATTTAGTATAATTTCCAAGGTGACTGTCTTTCCATGTTTCTATCTCACTGATTTCTTTAGAAAACTAAGGCAGAAACCCAGAAAATAACCAGAGTCAGTATGAGAGTCTGAGAAAGTGTCCGTCTTCATGGAGACGTCCAGACCTGAGGCATGGATGAGGACACTCCGGTGATGATGGTGGACATGGTGAGGACGGTGGTTATGCCTGCAGGAGGACACAGCAGGCGGTTCTGTCAGACATTACTGCCTAATCACTGTCATTCTCACAAAAGTCCAACAGAGGGCGCTGTGCGCCTGTTTGGCCTGAAGTAAGGAAAGGAAGAAGAGGCTAAAATAATGTCAA